CTAAATATATTAAATAATAATTATAAAAATAATTCATATGATTAATATCATTGTAAATAATTAATATTAATATATAATTTATAATTAAAATTAATTAATAATTAATATTAATTAAAAGCATCAAATTGTCATTATTAGGCCATTTTTGTGATATTGCTTAAAAGAGGGATTCACAAATGCTTTTTTTGTTTTCCTTTTCGTTTTTTATAGTCTATGAATTTATCTTCTCAGGATTTTTTTTCATTAACCTAGATATCCAACCCGTTATGTGAGCCGACTAATCCCAGAACAACCATCTACTTTGAAAATAGCCCGGAGTCACCGTATTTGAACCTCCGTGGCCACAATGGGATTTTCATTCTTCTCAGGTTATTGATAGGTGTATGACGGGATAAACCTTTTCACAAGAGCTTGTGAGCTAGTTTGTCAAAAATAGTTGCAATCTCTGCCTTGTTTGAGCCACTTAAGTGTATTTATACAAGTCTAATCCCACAACTCCATTATGCGACTCATGTCGTGGTTTATATTGCCTATCTCACTCTTTTATGTGGGTGATTAATGCGACAGCCTTATATCTCCAATCTCATTCCTACTCGTAGAGTGGTCCTAAATATTGGAGTGTTCATGATTGCTGAATTGGTTACTTGGGCACTTATGGTGTTTGTGGACCCCAATTAATTTGGGCTATGAAGATTTTTGTTATGTTTCTTGAGTTAGTTAGGGCTTGTTTGTTTTTCATTTTCAGCTCTTAATTACTACTTATTTCTTATTCGTTCAAACGTTTTGTAATTCAGATTGTTTGTTTTCCTATTATTTTCAAAGTCTCTTATCACTTAATAGAGTATGAATAAATAAGAGGTAAATTAGTATCTTAATTCCTTTTATTTCCCCTTTTATTTGATTCTTTTTTTTTCTCCAACAGAGACCCACTGTCCTTTCATTGCCCATGTGAAATGCACACCCCCACCTTCTCTCTCTACATATATGTGTATATATAATTTTTGTTTTTTATTGCTTTTTTCTTCAAAAGAGACGCCACTGTCCTTTCATTGCCCAAGTGAAATGCACGCCCCAACTTCTCTCTCTCTACATATATGTGTATATATAATTTCTGTTTTTTATAGGTTAGCTTAGAAAATTAATGTGAAACAAGAACTTCTATCATCGATTTATCCTCTATCAAAAGTATCGATATTTCTACAAACAAACTCATCGGCAACATTCCCGATAGCATCAAAAGTCTGCAATATATCCAAAAAGTTCTTACTGTGTTCCATCTGTTAAGCAATTGTTTTGGATGAATTTCGACAATGAAAATTTTGTGAAAATCAAGACAATTTTACAATAGTGTTTGCACCTGATTTTGCAAAAACAAACTATGATCCAGACTTCAAACATTTGTCATTTTTAAAAACCAAACAGTCTTATTGATCCAGACTTCAAACATTTGTCATTTTTAAAAACCAAACAGTCTTATTGATTCAGATTTCATACTTCACACTTCAGCACCACCTCTTATTTATCAGAAGCGAAATAAGATTTCAGACTTCATGAATGAAACTTGGTCAATGAAATTCACCATTCTAATCCCGTCAGATTCCAAATAACCAAACTCCACCTTAGATACCCGATGTTTAAAGCATTTGAGTAATGCCCCAAACCCAAAAGTATCAGACCGCAAATAACCTCTAAATCAAGTTAAACTTACGATAGAAGTTACTAAAAGCTCTCAAATCTACTTTCATATCCATATTGAACGGATTAATTATAATTTTTATAACCAATTGAAGCATTTCAATATTTTTTTTAGTCTCAAATTTCAACACAAAATCCTACTCATTTTCTTTGTGCTTCAATCTCAATCTAAAGACATATGGGTCAATATAGGGGACTACAACAACTTACTTTTAATAATTATAAAATTGGTATCAAATCAATCATTATTGTGCACACCAAATTTGAGTTAAATTTGGTGGTGTGATAAGGTGGAAGTTTCTAGGGTCGATATGCTTACTTTTTTAAACCTTTTATTTTTATTTTTATATAAATTGTATTTAAATATAACAAATACGTCAAATATTATTATCAGGTTTTAAAAAAACCAGTTATGACACTTACAGGATGTATAGTTGAAACGTAAAAATGAAATACTTTTGAGTGATTTTAAATTACATCTTTATAATTTCAATGATGTCCCTCAAAAAACTTCTTCACGATTTCGGATTCTGGCTTATGGTCCCCTCGATCATCCCAATTTTTATACTAGTTTTTGTATAGAGCATCTAAAATTGAATTTGAATCGATTTTTTTTAACATGGATATCCAATACGTTATGCGAGACGACTAATGCTATGTCGACTACTTGCTTCGTGCGTAGCTCAGAGTCATCGCATTTAAACCTCCATGGTCACAAGGGGATATTTATTTTTTCTTAGATTCGAACCTGAGACCTTCAAGCACTTTTGATATTTGGAGCCCAAGCCCAAATTGGACACCACCCTTGTGGTTGAATCGATATTTTGTAAGCAACTCTTTCGGGTTTCTTCAAGTACAATAATCAATTTAATATAAAACGTTAGTTACGGTAAGTAATATTTGTATAAATAAACAAAACACCATATAAGAATAGAATGATCGGTGATCTTGGCCGTAAATGACGGATGTTAGCGTTGTACATATCGATCAGTGCAGTGTCGAGTGTCCCGTTTGGAGATAACTTTTCTCCGTTTCATCCTTTTCTTAATAACTTTTCAAAATTTCCTAACAACCGTCGAGAAACAGTCTCTCTAATTCTTTAAACTAAAAAAAGCAGCATACAAAAAAATCAGTTTGGTTGTTAAAATAAAGGTATTGAAGTTGCTTAAATACACAACTTTGTATCATGTGCATAAAATGGCATTACATTACGATTTACGTCTATATATGTAACTTTTTTTAAACCAACATTTAATTAATGACGATGCAAATCCATGACGAAACCCTCAATTTATTAATTGAATTGAATTTATGATGACGAAGTTGATGATAAAAGTCATCATGAATCAATGATTATGTTTCCATTTAAATTTATATTTTAGATAATATATTTTTAGAAAAAGACAAATTACATGAAAAAAAATAACGTATTTTAACTTGATTCATATTTTGGGTAACATAATTTCAAAACTTTTATTTTGGTATCTAAGATGTAAAGTTTTAAATATTTAAGTATCCAGGTAACATGTTGAAGTATTAACCGGTTACCATGCTGATGTGGCGAGTGATATGATATCTGGTTAATGCTTCAGTAAATAATAATGAGTTGGATACCACATCATTCGGTACATGAGCATGGTAACCGTTTAATGATTATATTGGTTGTCCGGGTACTTAAATGTTTTAAAACTTTACATCTTAGGTACCAAAATGGAAGTTTTGAAAGTACGTTACCCAAAATAGAAATGAAGTTAAAGTACGTTACTTTTTTTCATGCAATTTGTGCTTTAAAAAACACACCGAAGAGTATAGTTTACAAAATGTCCAATGAAGATTTTATAGTTTGAAAAAAACTCATACAAGAAATATACTGTTAGTGTGCATTTAGTAAGTAGAGAAGACTGAAAACGATTACATTAGCACCACATTGTCATTGGGTTTATAGCGATTTCTGAAACCACCGACCCTTAAATATGACTTCTAGAAGATGGTTTCTCAAAATAAAAATAGAATAAAACAAGATCAGAATGCAAGAAATAACAAACTATTTTCATAAAATTTTCTATTTTAGCATTGTACTTCCATTTTTTGTTGTTATATCAATGTACTTTTAAATTATTTTTTATTGAACCATTATACTTTAAGAGTCTATCCATTATAACAACGGGTAACCTACTACCTTATAAGGGGCTGTTTACCAAATTTTAAATTAAGTACAGTATGGATAAATTTGTCTTTCTAAATAAAAATGTATTATTATTAAATTTTTATACTGAATCATCTGTCTGAATTATATAACCGACCGTTTTACCCTCAATATGAAATAAACATTATTCGATATTTTAATTTGATTTCGACCTGCAATACCTTAGCGGATATGGTTGAAATTTACCCAGATCGGGAAACAAGTGCGTGACGAAGGAAATCCACAACAACATCGTTGTCGTCGTCGGTGATTACGTCGTTATCTCCGATGATCATCTTCACCCCACTCCAACCATCTCCGCTGTTTACCTCAGGTATTGTAGGTCGAAATCAAAAACCACAACGATGATGACGATGGAGATGAAGGTTGAAATCGACTAGGGTTTTTGCAGGAGATGAAGTTTGGAGATGGTGATGACGGAAATGAAGTTTGGAGATGGTGATGATCGGGACGAAGTTTGGAGATGGAGATGAAGAAGGCGTGTTTGTAATCTGGAAGGGAATGAGGTGTGTCTCAAGTATAAGGGTAGGGATGTCTTTTTTTTTTTGCTGAATGGGGACAACACAACATATTCATCTATGCGAATAAGTCACCTTCTGTGCGAATAAGTCACCTTCTGTGCGAATAAGCCGTAAGTAAACATCCTAAAAGAGTTTTACGAAAGTAGGTTGTTATTTCTTATATTTTATTCTAAAAATAAAATGTGTGTAATTGGGCCAAATGAGTATAAAAAAATGAGCATGGCCCAATAATTGGACAAGACTATTATATCCTAAAGTGGCAACAATCCAGGTTATGTTTTTAAACCACACATAGAAAGAAAGATTCCAACTTTAAAAGAAAGCCCCACAACATGTTGACTTTAATGAGCATATATTATTGCATTTTGGGGGAATGGGTTGGGTTGGGTTGGGTAATAAGATATATATGCTCTCTCATTCTGAGACTTGTTTATCAAAACAATCTTTCAAACACATCTGATCCCATTTGTGTTCATTCATGGCTTCTGAAACCACCAGACACCACCATCATTCATCATCTTCATCAACTTCTCCTTACACCTATGATGCTTTCCTAAGCTTTAGAACCAAAGATACTCGAAAAAACTTCACCGATCATCTCTACACGGCCTTGACTCGATCTAGACTCGAGACCTTTAGGCACGATTATGAGCTACCAATAGGCAACGACATAACTTCAGAAACACGAAAAGCTATCCAACAATCTAAGGTTTCTATCATTGTATTCTCGAGAAACTATGGTTCTTCCTACCGGTGCCTTGATGAACTGGTGAACATAATGGACCGCAAGGACTCGAATGGGCAGGTGGTTATTCCGGTTTACTATCACATTGATCAGGCTGGAGTGCGTGAACAAACTGGGACTTTCGGTCGTGGTTTTGATAGAATTGTGGAGGATCTTGATGTGGATGTTAATAAGGTGGAAAGATGGCGGGTTGCAGTGGCTCAAGCTGCAAATTTATCGGGATGGGATTTGCAAAATATGGCGAATGGGTAACCGTTTTGATCTAATCACTTTGTGTTCCCATGAACATCTGAATAATCCCCAATGGGTCATTTGGATAACTAACCTTAAATGAGTTTCTAATTAGGAGTATGACCTTCTAATATTTGTTTAGCTCAATGGCCTTCATATAACCTGCTCCTAGTTCAAAACAGTCTGCCCCCAGTTGAAAACAGTTTGCTCCCGTTAGAACATAGAAATACACTAGGTCATTTGCAAAACTTAAAAGTATTTCTTTTAAGGAGAAGGTCATTGAGATAAATAGCATGTTGTTGTTGGAGTTCCATATCGGCTAGACTTAAAGTATTTCTTTTAATATATGTTGGAACCTCTGTTCTCTTATGAAAGGCTATTTTGCAGAGTAATCTAATGAGTTTCACATATTCTCACAGTAGCATACACCGACACTACTACGCAATTGACCTACTTATAACCCAAGCATACAAAATATAATCTAAATAGACAGATTAATCGGATACCATATAAGGAAGATCAAACCTTGAATTTGAAGTTCTAGCTTTTCAAATTCTAGCATTTTTCCCTTTTGCACACTTTTCACTAGCCGGGGATCTTCATGGAAAACAACCACTCTACTCTTTCAGGTAGAGGTCAGGTCGTACATCTTATCCTTCTGGAGGTGGGACAGACCACGCTTGTTTGGTTTGGTTTGGTTTACTACACTTGTTTATACAAACATTGCAGGCACGAAGCAAAGTTTATCAAAGAAATTGTCTGGCATGTTCACAAGACAGTAAAGCATACGAGACTACATGTAGCCAAATACCCAGTGGGATTGGAATCTCGTATTGAAGATTTAACTTCACTAGTGAAGATCGAATCAAACGAGGTGCGATTTGTTGGAATCTATGGCATGGGAGGCATAGGCAAAACAACCATAGCAAAGGCTTTCTACAATTCGGCCTTCCATTTATTCGAAGGCAGCTGCTTCCTAGCAAATATCAGAGAAGTTTCTGAACAACCCAATGGTCTAGTTCATCTACAGGAGCAACTTCTTTCTGAAATACTCATGGGACAGAAACTAAAGGTTGCAAATGACCACACAGGAATCACTTTTCTTAAAGAAAAGTTGTGTCATAAAAGGGTTCTCATTATTCTTGATGATTTAGATCAATTGAGTCAATTGGAGAAACTAGCAGGACAACAAGATTGGTTTGGTGCAGGAAGTAGGATCATTATAACAACAAGAGATGAGAACTTTCTAAGCCAAGCTAAAGTTGATGACAAATATGTTGTCAAAGAGTTAAATGACGATGAGTCTATGAGGCTTTTTAGCTGGCATGCCTTTCAAAAACCCGAGCCTCTGGAGAACTATCGGGTCCTTTCAAATGGGATTGTACATTATACTAGAGGTCTACCGTTAGCTCTAGAGGTCTTAGGTGCTTCTTTGCTTGGCCGAACCACAAGGGAATTTTGGGTAGGTACTCTAGAAAAATTGAGACAAATTCCTCCAAACCAGGTGTTAAAAAAGCTTAGGATAAGCTTTGATACTCTAGACGATGATAAAATAAAGGATATTTTCCTTGATATAGCATGTTTTTTCATTGGAATGGATAAAGATTATGCTACTGATATATTTGAAGGTTGTGGTTTCTTTCCTGGAGTTGGGATTAGTATCTTGATTGACAGATGTTTACTGAAAATCGGGCAAAGCAATAAGCTTCGAATGCATGATCTAGTGAGGGATATGGGAAGAGAAGTTGTCAAAGGAAAATTTCCTTTCGAACCTGGGAAGCGCAGCCGGCTTTGGTTTCATGAAGATGCATCTGATGTTCTATCAAAAGAAGAGGTAGGAAATAATAGGAATTTGTATATTTTCTAATTACTGATCCAAATGTTTCAAGTTCTAAAAGGATTAGCTTCATGTTAAGTCCACTTGACCATCTAGAGACTAGAACTCTTCCTTGCTCCATCCACTGCAACAATATCGGCTTTATAGGCCGCCAAATATGCCTACATGTCTTAATAGACTGCTTTATATGACACAAGTTTATATGATCAAACAATTTTGCATCCTATGTAAAAGTGTTACAACAAGCTGATGGGAAGCTTTTGAGCGTCCTAAGAAGTTATTTGACACTTTTTGAAATAATGTCTCCTATTAGCTTTTCTATAGGACATTCCATGCATGTCCTATGAGCACATCTTTTATTAAGATATTATTTCAAATAAATGCCATAAAAAAAGACTAATACTATGCCTTATTTTAAAAGTGCCATAAAAAACTTGTTAGGACGCCCAAAAATGTGTTATCAACTTGGTGTAGCACCTTTACATAGGACGCACAACTGTTTGGTCTTATTAACTTAAAAAGAGTTATAAAGCAGTCTATTAGAACATTTAGACATATTTGACGTCATATAAACCAGATTTTGTTGTACTGATCCGGCAATGAGACATGTAGTACTAGTATTTTCTTCTAATTAGCTGATAAATACTTTCTCAAATTTATCTTTTAGGGTTCAAAAGCAGTTGAAGGCCTTGTCCTGAACCTACCAAGGCCAATGCATCTGAACACCAAAGCATTTGCAGTCATGCAAAAGTTAAGGTTGCTCCAAATCAACAATGTCCACCTCCATGGAAGCTTTCAAGGTTTATTCTCAGAGTTAAGGTGGCTGTGTTGGCATCACTGCCCATTGGAACATTTGCCATCCAATTTGCATCTTAGAAAACTAGTTGCTCTTGATATGCAGCACAGTAATCTCAGAACGTGGAATGGTATAAAGGTATGATACCCCCCCCCCCCCC